ATGCGTCAGTGAGTACTAATCTGCGCGACTTTTGTCACCCCCTGATGCTTGGCACCCGGGGCGGATAGTTTGCGAGATTACTCAAGTCTATTGGCACGAACTATAGCTCGCAATGATATACGAATGATGCGAATTAGTACTGATACTGAAACCGTACCGGCCATGATCACCGTGCGTGTACGTAAATGCAGTTTTGGGCCTTGTTTTCTTGATTATTACTGATTTGATATAGACTTATTTTTAAAACATAAAAATTGTAAGATAGTTCTTCAGCTTCGCTTCTTCTGATGATCTGATGTAGATACGATATTGGCACTACTAAAATATATGGTATTATTTAGTCATATACTACATTAGATTTAATATTATACCAGAGTCTTTAATCATGGACTTGGTTTTTAGTAAAATGAGAAATCTGTCTGAAGACATAAAAATTCCTAGAAATTCATGAACATTCCAATAGTAAGATACTAGCTGACCCGCCTTAATGGCAATAAATAAGCAGACTTTTTTTTATTTCGAACGGGATAAAAAGTATCCTATGTCCTTCTCCTGGCTCTAAACTACCTCCCTGACAATTTTCAGCTAAATCGGTTCAGCCGTTCTTGAGTTATAAGTGGAGTAACTAACACGACTTTCTTTTATATATATAGATTATTTGAATAAACTGTATGTTTAATCGAATGATATCGTTATCAAACCGTTCGTACATTAGCAATTCTCCAATTTACTTTTTAGTAATTATTTGATGTAAATTTTATGTTTATTTTATAGATTCTGGTTTTAAAACATTTAAACTGATTTAAAAATTAGTGAAAAATCTGATTTCAGTGAAAGGTGCATAATGCCTTTTACATTTAATCTATTTGTTGCATAAGACTGCATTATGTATTAAACTGCAACATTTTGTCAGTATAGGTAATATTCATATAATCATTATTATTTATTCTAATTAACACTTAATTAAAACATTTGACATCACTTATTAGTTTTAGGCTGAGTTACATCACAATTGATCACAACACCTAACTTTGACCGTAACTTTAACGATAACCGGTGTTTTTTGTATGGATTTTGACAGATGTTTGACGTTTGCTACAGTTAAAGTAAGATGGTGCAACCAAAACTTACTTTTCCCACGTTTTGCCAGAATACACTGAATCGCGCGCGTGTTTCAAAAACTTCTTCATTTATTTTCGAAAGCAAAAAATAAAAAGTTTCTATGTCGCCAACTTGACTAAGTATTATTGATTCCCCATACCATCTTCCAGCTTCTTTTATACACTAAGTATTAAGAGATGATTTTCGGATAAAAACATTATCTAAATCGGATCATGGGATCTATTCCACCTGTGTAACCAACCTATGTGTTTCTAAATCCATATTTTCCAATACAGCACATACAGTCTGCAAAAAATTTAAACAAAAGAAAATCTGTCTATGGATCGACTTCGCAACGCGCCATTGTCGCGCGATGACATTTGACCGCGCGCGCGCAACGCGAGTCGCGACCTTATTTACATACAATGTTCGAAATTCAAAATTTTCGTGTTAGAAGTAAGTTTATTATAAAAACAGACAGTTTTCTTGGCGTTATTTTTATGTGGTAGAAGTACTGAGTACATACTAACTTAGGTTCATGGGCTTATATGGGCCTTATTTAGATTTTGCTTGTTGATTTACATCTCAAAAGGTAAATAATAGTAAAATATTCATTAATTCATTATCATTATTTAAGATGTTACTAAAGCACTGAATATTTAGGCTCGGTTTCTAATTTGAGATTTCCAGCTGGAGTGTGCTCATATTTCCAAGGATGAATTATGATAAATGATGAAAAGTTCATACTTGAGAAGATGAGGAGCACGCTAAAGCCAAAAATCTCAATTCAGAGTTAAATTGCTGAGAAGGATTGAATTCAGAGAGTTTCAGATCATCTTAGTTACCAACCGTATTAAATCAAAGCAAGTCGTTAACTAATAAAGGGAGTTACACAAGCATTATTGGTTGCTTGATAACAACAATACATAACCGTCAATCAGCTACCAACTACCGCCATGTTATTGTTTACAATTCCCGCCGCACTGTGATTGGTCGGACTCGCGCACGCGTAATCGCTCTCGCCTCTGATTGGTCAACCCGACACTTCCCAGTTTGAAATTGGAACCATCTGGGCTGGTGCCAACGCCAATAAAGAATGGCAGACGTGGCAGTTGACTCATTGGTTTAGTGGAGACATTTATGTGCCTATAACATTTCACATGCGTTTCAGCTAAGCTTTAGACATGCCACGAATATTCGGCTACTATTCGGTATTCGGCCTATTCGGCCACTTTGTTTGGTATTCGGTATTCGGCCGAATAATAGGTACTATTCGGCCGAATACCGAATACCAAATCATGGAAAAAAAGACACATCATATTAATCAAGATTTGTCTTTATTATCAAATTACAATACTTTAATAAGTAAAATTAATCAGCGGTAAGTTGTGATGGATAAAAACAAGCTTTTCAGCATTTGGCGGTAGCAAACGATTACGCTTTTCATCATAACGATACCAGCTTCAGAAAACAACCTCTCACTATACACGCTACTACCGGGAGAAGAAAGATAAACTTTAGCAAATTTCGAGAGCTTGGGTATTGTTTTTCATTAGCTGACCACCACTTGTAAGGATCAGCTTTCTTCCGACCTAGTCAATTTGATTTCAAATAAAAATACATCTCATTTGCCACAGTATTCTTCTCCACGTTCTCCTCATCATTACTATTTCGCATATTATCTTTAGCGATTTCCTCAAAGCAGTTCCAGAATCTGTCGTGTATTTCAAATGACTTATCATTTTCGTTCAAGTTTCTTCTCTTACGACGTGGAGAAGAATCGTCATCGGTACTACTAGAATCATCATCATTACAACTTACTTTCAGAGCTACTACACAGCAAACAATTGGCCAGTTTATTATTTTTACTACAAATCTCATAATATTCCCATATGGCCGATTTTTTATTAATTGGTGTCATTTTTTAATGAACAAACAATTGAAAAAGAACTAACGAACAAACTTTTCAGCAAAATCGTAACGTTTTATTAGTAATTGATATTAATCTGACAATGCGTGCCGTGACGTGATTTACTCGCAATTGAATGAAACAGTCAAATAGCCTCACACCGCCCGCGCGCGATGGAGACAGGTCGAAACCTGTCGTATTATTATTTACGCGCTCGACTAGCATGTACTTTGTGCCGAATATTCGGCGACCGAATATTCGGCGCTTCGGCCGACAGCGTTGCCGAATATTCGGTATTCGGTATTCGGCCAAATCACTATTCGTGGCAACTCTACTAAGCTTAACGCCCGTATTCACAAACGATGCTTGCTTAAGTGAAGCATCAAATCGAACGCACAGCGTTGAATAGAGCTCTGTGATTGGTTCGTATGTCACCCTATGCGTCCACGCGCACTGTGAGACCTCATAGTTATGTTTGTGAATACTGCCGTAAATCGCTTCTTACTGGTAGATACAGCTTTTGATTAGGCAAGTGTTAGTTTTTAGTTACTTGTTTTTGGTCCCAAATATTCTAAAGTCATATCGTTCAATAATACACTAATGTGGGAACAAAAACCGAATTAGTAGCAAGGTCATGAATTTCACAATTATCTGATAAATGTTTATCGTTCACAAAAGCTTTATGGGCAATTCGTTCATTTCTATACGTTTGATCGGCAATCAGGGGCACCATTAATATTCATGTCTTTCGTAACGCTGACCTTTAGGGATCGAACCCAACACCCAAGTGTTAATCGACTTGAACTTCTGTACTTTTGGAGTCTTACTCAATGTCAATAGTTTTGACGCCCTTTTAAATATGCCCATTGCCCATTCGTTTGATAGCAAATTCGTGGGTTCGTGACGTATTCGTGCCTGTAACTTTAGTATGAATAGGTATTTCTTAGAAAAATATCCGAGTTAATTAAGCACGAATAGTGAACCAGAGGGCCTAGTGCGAGTTTACATAAAACGCGCTCACTAGCGGGAAACGTTCAAAAACTAAAATTTTCATACATTTTTTAAACGCGCTCACTAGTGAGCTTAGTAAACACACTCAGCCCACAGTTAGGTACTTCTAGCTAGTGTATAGTCAGCTTCAAATATTTATGACACCCAAAGTAGCTAAAAAGTTATAGGTATAGATTAATGTATTGATTGGTGATAAGAATTAGAATATTTATCAGTATTAATTTAATCAATCACTATTAAACTCATAGGTTATTATTACACTTGTGCGATAAAGTCGCAAGCACTCTTATCTTTTGTTAATTGCAATACAATTCATTTATGTATTAGTGCATTTACATCTGTAATAAATAGGCTGGTATCAACAATTCAATCTTGTAATTATATGTTTCAATGTCAATAAACATAACAATCAACAAAGCCTTCGTTGAATTTTCTGCTTACCCAAAATGTCAATTTCATGGAAATTTCATTTCATTTGATTACATACATAGTTTAGGAATGATTATTTTGTAGTTGTAACTTCTCAGACATTGAGCTTCCTGGAGAGAGACTCTCTCACTTTGGCACAAAAGGTGCATGTAGGTATACATACAGCCGTTTGATATCCTGAATTTTGAATAGCATGTAATCACAAGCTTGCTACTAAAAATTAAATTTATTCAGGAAGAAAGAATCAAATTGTTCAGAGAAATCTATAATATAACAACGCCTGGACCAATTTTACCAATTCTTTTTTTTTTAATGTTCGTTGAAGTGGAAGGATGTTTTTTACGGCGAGAAAAATTCAAATAATTTCCAGAAAAACCGTAAAAACAGCCCATTTTTCGATGACGATCTGTGAGTCTGTGACAAACGAAATTTCACGAGGGTGAAGCCGCGGGCAAAAGCTAGTAAAGCATAATTATACAGGCCAGTCCGTGTTAAAATATCAATAAGCCAGTGTCTCTAGTTATATTAATTAACTTCTGTTTTGTTTCAGGTGATAGGAGAAAGAGAGTATGCAGTTCGGCCGACGCGGAGAGATGGCACGGCGGAAGAGCTACAGACTGGCCAGCCCTTAGAAGTAATAGTTAAACAGGTATGTACCTTAATCTATTAGATATATTATAAACGCGAATTACCACTCACTGATTAATCACGAAGTCTCAGAAAGTATAACATCTAAGGGGGTAAAACGGGGTCCACGCGTACGAAGTCGCGGGAGGCCGCTAATGTGTAAATGCCTTAGCCCTGGTTCCTGAAATTGAAATTTCCAGCTTGAGCGTGCTCATCTTCTACTCGAAGATGAATTTAATATGAAATGTTCATAATTGATTAGAAGATGAGCACGCCAAACTGATTATTTCAATAAATTTAGGAAACAGGTCATAGAGTCGTGTTATTATTATGAAAGGGCTCCCAAAATCTAAACAAGATTCAAGCCTTAGGTTGGTGGAAATTTAATGTTTAGATTAAAACCAGTCACAGGACAGGATCTACTCGTATAAAGTTTTAAGCGTCATTTCGTAATTAGATTATCTTCATTAGATATTTTTCCAATACATATTGTTAAGTGTGGTTAAGTTGTGAAATCTTGAGGTGATGAGTCAAGTATACACCTCTATCCAATCATCTAAGGTTAAAATATAGGTACATACAATCCGTTACATCGAAGATCCGAAGTTCACATTTACCTACTCGTATTCAAAACACACTAGGTACTTATTTTCTCGTGTCTCGTAGTACAAAACAATAATTATAAAGAAGCTCATGGTAATAATATCTAACTAGGTACCAATTTACCATGGAATAATCATGCCAGCATTCCCAAGCATTCGTGATAATAGTATTTTGTAGGCTCTACCTACTTTCAATTTAGGTGCGACTCAAATAAGCAAGAGCCCAATTCTCTCTCAATGAGGGTTTTCGCGATTGAAAAATCCGCCAGATGGCAATACGTAGACGGGAGGTCCAAATGCTGCATGATTGGTGGATTTTGACATATCTGTCAATTTCATGTCTACGTATTGCCATCTGGCGGATTTTTCAATCGCGAAAACCCTCATTTTGAGCTTTTTTAAACTTATATGTACCAGATTTGGACCATTGGAATAAGGTTGTGTTGTCAATTTCGGCCACTTTAAGTGACACGAATTATTTGACGTTGACTGTATACATTTTGGAATACCTCTTAAAACTCCTGATTTGCAAATAATTTACTATAGTACTCGCTCCACTGCGCACTGAGCCATTTCTATGCATTTCTATTGTTCCACTGAGCGAAGTCTGGTAAATAAAGTGATTCTATTGGCGCTTGACAAACATTCTTAACGGAGCTTTCCTAGCACGTTCTTGGTGGAAATGCGCCTTAGGCTAGGCCATTGTGTAATAACCTTCATAATGAATGAAATTCTTCTTCTGACAGTTTAACTTTCCCCCGGGACAAACTTGACCTTCATTGGTTGGGTTTTTATGGCAGTCAAGCTGTAGATCCTGGTTACACAGGAGTTGGAAAGGTGGGAACGAGAGGTGGGAATAATCCCGTTAAAAAAACCTTCATAATGGTAAAAATGTCGTAGAAATCACTTTGGTTCTAAACGACGCGTCGTCAATTAAGATGGAAGAAGTTTTTAATTTACCAAATAGACATAATTTCAGAATCGGGGCCAATATTAAAACGTCAGACGGCGTTAGTTCAAACATCAAAGTAGCGAACCACCTTCTCAATGTCGACCGGTTATGTGGTTTCATTTAGCTAGTCGTAATCATGATCGATTGCATTTTGAACTTGGTTGATTTATGTAGTTCCTAGGTACTAGTGTGTTAAATTCAGGGCTTGCTGGTTTTACAGAAATATTAAAATAAATGTACATATTCATAGATGAACGGATGCTGATGACGGAAAGCTATTTAGGCTACAGTTTTTTGTAAATTGTAGAGTCACTAATCTTTTTCATATTTTACAGTCAGTGAATTCGGACATAATTGGTTTTACCTTTTCAATATTTATAAGTAAATACCTACTTAAAATGACTTTATTTTCTTCTTTCTTTGGAAATTAAATTATTTGACGATCATAGGAAACCTCTTTTCTTTCAATTTAATTTTAACAAAACGTGTTTTTCAATACCCAAATGAATTGCTAAATGTAAATACAACATAACTACCATATAAATTATGGATCACCAAAATGTTCAAAACAATTTAAATTTCGTAGACATTACTTACATAAATTCATTGTCAAGTAAGTAAGTAATGTCCTACTTTCTGTAAACATTGTCTGTGAGTTCTGTGACAGAAATACAAACACGTGCGAGAGCTTAAGTTCATGGTAACTTACGAAAATTCTGACGACAAAAATAATCCACTCGATTACTTAGTAAAGTACTTACGTAGGAACATTAATAGTCTGTAATGTTCTTGACTGTTAACCAAGCGCCATGTTGTTTTCCTGTGCGGGTGGCAGCCATGATCTTTGCCCTGTGACGTCAGACTTCAGACATGCAACTTTTCTACGTGGTTCTGTGATATATGTAGCCAGTTTGAATATTTGTTCTGCTAAGTATTTGCCAGGGCTTTTATGTCTAGTGGTTAGTGTTGAACGAGGCCCTGGATTTGATTCTCAAGTGGGACACATAATCTGAAAACCACTATCTGTAATTCAAAGGCTTAAAGCTTTCGTAGCATGTAAAACTTGTGAAAACACCGACTCCAAACATTTTCGTATTTTCATCCTGCTGGAAGATTTCCCTGGTCTTGCAATATCTACACAAAAAATTAAAAAGTTACAAACAAATAGGTATTTTCTCGCAATAATAGTAAATTAATTACAATGATTATGCACTTTCAAATCAATATGTTCCAAGTTCGCTTGATTTTTTTTGTAAAAGTTTTCAATTTATCAAATTGTGAACTTGCGTTTTGAAATTAACAAGAGAAAGGTAATGCACACACAATAATAATTGTATAAAACAAGCAATTACATTATCATGTAGCTATATGTAGCAATAAAACGTATAGATAGGTATACAACAGTATCTTATTTAACCAAGTGTTTTTGTTTGTAGCGACATCAGATTTTTAATTTTTCTTGCAAAATAGCACTTATTATAAAGCACATAAGATACTCCAAAGTTAAGCTCGGTGTATTCTGTACAAGACAAGCCGAGAGTGGACTGGCAGTTGCATTTTGTCAGATGTTTATAAAAGATGTCAGAAAAATTACCGCAAAACAAATGAAACCAAACAAATAAAGCTAAATAATGTCACCCCGAAATCGATTTTTCTGATTCTAACCTTAACTGATGCATAATAATATTACAAATTGTTGTGGTGGTACAAAAGAACTAAACTGTCTTTACAGTACAGTAACCCGGCTGAGTTACATTACTTTACCTGGTGTTTTGTATGGAGTTTGATAGACTTAACATTTGTTATAATTAAAGTAAGATGGTGCGGTGCAACCCAGGGTACCACACAAGTCTTACAAAGAAATTGAGACAGAATTGCAATCTTCTTAATTAAAACCAACCAGTTCGATGAAAAGGACGGATGTCAAAATCGCCGAGGGGCGAAACGAAACGTCGTAACTGCTAGTTACCTTAAATTCACATGCACACCTTGTTTATTACAACAGGTTGTAACGGGTTGGCATGACTCAATCAGACCATGGTATATTCCACTTGCCACATCGACTTTCTACGTGGAAATACTTTTATTTTTTTGTTATTTTACGTCGGAGAAAGGGACGTAAGTGAACCGATCTTTTTGCTTGTACTGGTGGCAAAAAGGGAGTTGTTTTTCTATAAAAACATAAAAACAAAAATATGTAAATGGTTTATTATGATTAATGACATGCCGAGCCTCACCGGAGCATAACGCAACGTGTGGCAATGGCTTTTACGACGAAAAGTATATTCTATACTTAATTAATTACAAAACCATTATTTTATTCTGTTCCACACTTCCACCATACCAAAACAATAAAACAGTATTACATAACTAAATAAACGTAAAAATTCTTATAATTTTTTTAACAGGTTAACCCGCCCGGTGTGTCCTGTCCTGTCAGAGAAAACTTTATCGAGTTTCCCTTTATTCCCGGTTTTTGATACCCCTTTCTAAAACCGGGATAAAAACCGAGTAAACTACGTTTTTCCTATTTTTCTTCTTCAAAAACACCTAAACCTATGGGAAAACTGCATGAAAATCCATTCAGTTCTTGAGTTTATTGCGTACAGACAGATAGACGCTGTGGATGCTGTGTTTTTTATTTTATGTAAGTAGTTCATAGTAAAAAAATTGCGATCTTAATTTGGAAGATTATTTGTTTAAAGAAATCTTGACTAGCCAATTAAAGTTTAACAACCCCGAACTCGTATTTCTTTAGCAATGTCATAAAATCTTGAACGTGAGGAAGTTTCAATGCAGTCAAAGAGAAAGTTGTGTTATTCTGACGCTTTATATGTAACTTGTTTGTATCAATTTAAGAGTTATTTTGTTCTTCGTTTATATTGACACCACAGGTGTTACAAAGCCATTACAAATAAAGGTCCATTCAGTGGTAAGTGTTTTTTTTTAAACAAGGCATTGTTGCAAGGCAGGGTATATGACCGCAATCGCACCTGATGTTAAGTGAGATGCAGTCTAGGATGGTACATATTATCTGCCCTGTAAGTGCCTATTCATTGACATGTATTGGTATTGCCCTGACGTCATTGTACAGTCGACAGCATATCAGACTACACGTTTTTGAAGTAAATTAGCCTCTATTACAGCTATCTAAGATGCCAATATTGAACGAGACGTGCAGTTGTTTCTATTCGTATAAAACCGGCTTCTGAATTGTGTAAACACTATCGCAATCATCCATTGCTGTGGCCAAACCAATCACTGTGAGGACTATCTTTACGAGCCTTTGACGTATTACGAAAACATAGCTCTCCTTCTGGCGTAGTTGGGTAAAAATACACATTTCACATTGAAACCTTGATTGATGCGAGTTTGTAAAAAAAGGCTCACTAATAAAAATAACAAATGAAGGCATTTTTTAATAAAAAAAAATATGCATTGGAAAACACTTTATTTTCACTGATGATC